TTTGTCAATCAGGTAATAAATTCCTGTAGAAGATGCACGTGAAAAACAGTTGGCTTGAGAATATTTGTAGAAAAAACTGAGGTTAACTATGCTACGACGGAGAGAATGTAAGCGAAAAGATGCCTTTTCGGTTCCGATTTGTCGTCTAAAATATGAATCAAGTAACTGCATTGCACTTAACGGATATAATTTAATATCTTATGACTGAAATATACATAAAAGATTCATATGATGCATACACACCAGAAATAGATAAATGGGCCCTAAATTATACAATATGTTATGTTGCTGCTAATAAACCTACAAACGCACCTATGGTGTGTAGGGCCAGGCAACCACCAAAATAAATTTTAAAGCTTCATTTGCAATAGTAAGTAGGTTTCCAAGTGCTGTATCTGTTAACTCCACGATTTATCGGCTTGCATTCAGCATTGTTCTTCTCCTAAACCGCTTTGTAACCAATGCTATTAACACAGAAGTAACGGAAATAAGAGGTATTCCTTCATTTTAACGGGGACACTAAGCCAAACGGCGGCAATGTCATTCATTTGATTTTGATTTCTACACGCCAATCGCTATTTTTCGCGCGGATAACTGCTACATTATGCGAATAACCTTATTCAGTATAGGGTCTGTGTTTAATTAGTACTTTTCTTATTTTCAAGTTTTTGTTTATTTAGATGCGAGTGTGTTTATTCCGAACATAAAAGCAGAAACCGAATTTAAAAATACATGTTATATTTAAACCACAAATATTTGCCATTGAATTCCCCATCTTGTTGCGACATTTCTTCCTCCTTCTTATGCCGTCACGAATTACGTCCATGACAAGCAGGACAGTGTTATTTAGATCGGAGTTTTGGTATAAGTATGTTCGTAAAATACTTTCCGATTTTAGAATCGCATTTTTTCCTGAATTAATGTATTTAACCAGTGATTAAATGAGTCAAAATAAGAACCATGAAAATCCACACTTGTCAGCCATCAAACTACAAACTTATTTGTGACTTTACAATAAAACGCTAAAAGGAAATCTTTGATAAAGTGGTAGTCCATTAGAAAGAGATCCCGGGGAATATTGTGAATTTGTCAGTGACTTCTACATTGTCACCCTGACGCTATTTCATTGTCAAGAAGCAGAATTGAACCTCGTTGATTAACCAGTGCCTGTCTTAATTTGTTCAACTGAAAGTATATTTCATTTAGTTGCTGTCAGGGAAATTCGGCAGTGATTCTCGGCTTAGATTCCAGACAGATGCCATGGATAACGACAATGGCCGACTACCACACAGTCATCATAATCTTCTGCTGGTGTAATTTCCGTTTTGGAAAGTGTTTGAGTGCTTCCTCTTCATCAAGCAGCTGAGTCAATTTTTTTACGATTGTTATAAAAGATCCATTTCTCATATTGTCAGTATTTGATAAAGAAGAGGGTCATTTCAGTAGAAACCATTTATCGAGTATTTTCATTTGGTCAAATTTCTTGATGATCCGATACTGTGGAAATGCTGATATTCAATATCTGGAGCATCCAAATCAACAAATCAACCATTCGCCCTTGCATGGAATATTGCTGCCATATATGGTCTGGAGCCCCTTCAATTTGTCTCAAAGTCCTTGATAAATTTCCCAGATGGATATGCAATGTAATTGGCCCTGATGTGGCATTTCGTCTGCAGCCTTTCTCTCATAGCCGTGTCATTGCCTCCGTCTGTCTTTTTGCAAATACTTTCACGGCAACTGCTCCGATGAGCTGCTTTCTCTGGTTCCCAGACTTCATGAATTTAAGCGTTCAACTAGGCTGGCATTCTTGCTCTCGCCCTTTCACTGTCGAAACTGTTAAATGTAGCCGTCTCTTCTACTCCAATAGCTTCATATCTCGTATTTCTCGCTTTTGGAAATCCCTCCCTATTTCTTGTTTTCCTGATAGCTATAATTTCCAACTATTCAAAGGTAATGTCAATCGACGTTCCCAGATGCCCTGATCTATCCGCCTACATTCTCTTCATCCTTTCCTCTATCCCTCCTCTTTGTTCTCGCTCCAACTCGCTGTAACCCCTTACGTGCTAGTGGCTTCCCCCCTTTCTTAGGGTTCAATGCTTAAGAAAATCTCCCCAACCATTTGAACTTTTGCATAGAGTTTCCAGATATTAATTGTGGACATCCTCTACAACCTTGCTCATCAAGGTGAGTGTTCCCACTGCGGAACTTTAGGAACATGCGCTGTACTCTCCAATCAAAAGTTGATCTTTGACCTCATATTTTGTTAATGTTGATAGCAGTATGAGAAGAGACAATTAAATTAAGAATTAAACAATGAAAAAATATTAAATGCATGTCTACTATATTCATGTTCAAGAGGGCACCCCAAGGCGGCGTAATAGTTAAAAGCTTGTCTCGCTAGACTTATTACAAATGAGTAATGAGTTCGATTCTCACTGGGTGCCCTATACTTTCGGCCTTGTGCCGCATCGAAGTTACTCTTGGAAAATCGCTATATTCATATTCAAGATGAAAGGTATATAATGTTTTAAGTCAAATTCCGAAAGAGATTCATATTGTGACACCATTTAGGGCTGCAAGAAAAAAGGAAGAAAAAAAAGAAAGAAAAAGAGAGGCGAGAGTTAAAACTTAGATGATAAAGGAAAGCCATCCCAAAAGCGGCATTTAGCGATGTTATTCTGATAATGAAGAATGGTGAAAATTTTTATGGCCATTGTCGAAAGGCTAATTGACAAATTCCAGGGGGGCCAAATAACCAGATACAGAGTTTTGAATTGATAAAAAATTAACTGTGTCATGGCGGCGAACTTATATTATCGGGAAAAGATTTTCCGTGACCGAAAAATAGGAATGCCCTGACCACACACGAGTTGAAAAAAAAACAAAGAAAATAGGTTAAATCTTTGTCGATGGAAAGATATCGTTAGACAAGATGTCTGTTTTGTGTTGAAATTTGACTATAACAGCGAAACAATATTATCAGAAAAATGGCGAAGTCGTTCCATCGTATCAGTGGTTGGCGCCGGAAAGTGAATGCATCTGTTTGGTCAGCCACTTGGTGCTGGCGAAAATCTGATTGACGAATTCCATTTGAAAGTGACTTTGGGATAAGAATTGAGATTATCACACTACGGGTCGTATTGTTCTGTTGGCGGCCAGAGAAGAAGAGGGAAAAGAAAAGAAAGATAGGAAATAGAAAAAAAGAAAAAGAGGAGATAATTTTTTTTTCTTTGATCAAGATATTTTTTTAAAAAAACAAGGCTAGTCTGGTCACACCCACACTGTCGAACGCCAATTGGCTGAAGGTTGGAGAGAGCCAGGCGGAGGAGATCAAGTGATGCAGGTGGAGAGGCCTGCTACCACCCATTAAAGGGGATAGGTATGAGATGTTACTGCGAAGGAGTAGGAAAACCGTTGACGCCTTTTGAGGGTATGGTAAGAGAAGACTTCCAAAAATGAAAATAATAATTTTTTCCTGACCGAAAACAAAAGAAGGGGATTGTGGATTTGGAATTATGAAAGAACCTCAAAGCCCGACAAAGCCCACCGCTGTTTTGTGTCGGCGTCTATATAAGCAAAGTCGCAGCGAGCGAAAATCAGTTCAGTTTCGAGTTTCGAAGTTCGCAGTTGAAGTTGGTCCCGCTTCGCAGATAACTGACTTGAAATGTTCACGCAATTCCGAACTCATCTTCTAACCAAGAACAAATTATTTTTGAAGAACGACTTAGACTCATAACACCAAAATAAGTTTTACGAGTATCGTCTGAAGACACACCAAGAACCAGTTTCTTAAAGAACAGACAACTTAAGGTGTTAAGACTCGCCTAACAAAAACAACGTGTCACGAATCCATATAGTGGTTTTGGGAGAAAGACGTAGTCCTATGTATCCAGCAACCAGATATAAAATATTGTTATCCTTTTTTTTGATACCTTTGAACTTTTCGAGTTATTATTTTATTTTCTTTTACACATACTTGTGCGATATCACCCTTATTTGAACTCAGCTTGCAGTACGGCCTAGCGACTGATTGATTTCGTCTGCCTAGATAAATTCACAACGTGGGTAGGTTAGACTAGAGATCAAAGCAGTTTCTGGAAGCGAGCTGGGAACGACGAGGCTGATACCGAATCCAACCAGATTCCCATCCGAATCACCAAAAAGTTAGAACGTCACGTTTGGGTGCCGCTACCAATACCAAGCCAGTTAGTCGTCACAGGACGGGATAGCACGACTGACGCAGACAGGCGGACGTCACGTTTGGAGCGGCGACACCTGAACGAACGAGTGGGGGACGTCACAATATAAAATTAACAAAGATGTGGCGTCAATTATTAGGAATAAGTTATATAATTTGTGCATCTCTTCTAATTAGATATTAGAACATAAATAAAATGGCGATTCGAAAATCGGATTTTATTTTCCGAAATAATAATAAAAAATGGCGTGGTCTTTGTGATGTAAATATTTCTTTTCGACGAGTATTTAGTATAAAAGACAAAAGCAATCCTTGTCACATCGATAAATGAACCCCCATTTATTGAATATTTTGAAGTAATATGAATTTAAAAATTGCTTAGTCAGAGCAAGCATGATTTGAGTTGATAAATTAGAGTTGTAAAAAAAGAAGTCTGACAGAATCGTAATGTTTTCGATTGAATAATTACGATATTATTCCAGTTAAATGGGTCTGAAATTTCATGTATCTTAGAGCCTTTACACTAGTGTTCTTTAGCGATGTTTTTTTTGTTTGTTTTTTGCAGCACCAACACATTCACTAAAGCCTTTTTCCTTAGATTGATTTGACTGATTCTTTTTTTACGATTTATCAACCCTTTGCAATTTATGTGAAGCCAGCTAATTTTTTTTATATAGTAAAAATGATTTGTGAGAGGAGATAATAATGATTTATTGATACAAGTCTTGCTTTAAGCAATTAACCTGGGGAGTAAAATAGTCCCCCGATTAATAATTCTGAGCCACAATCCATATCCAAGCTTGCAGCACCTGGTATTTCAAAGCGAACACCCATCTACGTATTGACCAGGCTCGACTTTGCTTAACTTCTGTGATCGTACGACAACTGGTGTTTAAACGTGATGAGCATTTTATCGAAGAACACGTTAAACGTTGTTTTCTGACAACACATTGGATACGTTACGTTAATCCATCATTTAGATCAATTCCAGAGAATTATCCCATGGTACAATAGCTTAGTGGATTAAATCTTTGGCTCTTGAATTAGGTGAGACAGAAAATCCACTCGAAATTGAAAATTATATCACTGTAAATTAAATAATGGACTTAGTTCGTAATTGTAGGTTACCGGGATCGACATTTACCTGATGAAGGCCGAAGCACACAACAACCGAAACGTTATAACAACAGCAACAAAGATGGGGAAAATTGTCCGCATATAAATAGTGTCAATATATAAAGTGTATACACCATCATTTTGTACTTCTGAAAGCCATTATCCCCAGTTACTTTTAAGTAATCACACTTACAAGTGTCCATTAAGTCGGCTGCAGATGATGTTGACAATGGTCAAAAAGTATCGCGAATCCATTCTTATATTTCAATCAACAGTAAATTAGCGGAACAAAACTTCCGTTGTTGCTAAGTGACAAGAAACAAATTCAACACCATTTAAATGTGTATTAGATTTCTATTAAAAGGAGAGCTTCGATATAATTTCCGCTTGAAAACATTGCTGAGACAATATTAGAAATTAGAATTGTTTTAGGTATTTTTTTTATATAAAAAGCAAAGGCTTTTATCACTGAAATATAATCTGTTAATGTAGATTGTGGAAAACAAAACCAGCTCTCTAGAATACTGTGCTCTTTTTTTATTCTCTTATATGACACAAAATTCCTTGACAACTGTCACGTTTTATTCCCCTTGTAAATAACTGAGTTATTTAAGTTAATTTAGCGAGTTTCAACCAGAACGGAAATTGATACAGTTTACATACGAATCAAAGCTGGAGACACGTTGCTGAAAATAAAATCTATTGGCAATAGATTTCTTTTACTCCAATGCTAATTACTTATTAATTATTTATATCCCATTGAAAAACATAATTTGGCTCCTGAAAGAGGAAAGGTTTGACTACAAATGAATGACATGATTATAACTTGCAAATCAACAAGGACAAACCCGGCAGGGTATAATTTAATCAGAGCGTGATTAATTAAACCAAAATATCATCAAAAAAGAAGTAAGTGTTAAGACAATACATTATCAAATAATAGGCCAGTGTTAAGACACTATTTGAAATGATATTATATTATTAATGCTAAATTTGTTTCGATTAAAAGTATCTTAATAGAGTCAGTTTAAACGGGATCTTTCCATATCGTTACAAATTATAATTATAAACTTTAATTTCTGAAAGTGAAAATTTCACTGAAAAAATTGTGAAAATATTCGACTTTCTTAGGCAATGAAATACATATATATTTCAACAAAATGGTCACACTATATATATATATATATATATATATATATATATATATATATATATATATATATATGTATGTATTTAAATAGGTTTGAAAAACGGTAGTAATGTAAAAATAAACACACACCAGTCGATAAAACTAGAAGAACTGTTAACATAAACCAAAGAAAAGTTTTAAAATGAAAAAGCTTGCTGGTATAATTTTTAATTTTTTTTTTTCCCTGTCCATTCATTCATGTCACCCATGACAGACTTTTTTTTTTTCCTCATAATCTAAATTCCCTTTAACAGTTCTGACGAGAGGGGACGAAAACACGACTGGTGTGTGTTTTATTTTAAACTTATCATGGCCTACAATACAACATTTCTAGTTTTAATGCCTTAATATAGAAATATATATATATATATATATATATATATATATATATATATATATATATATATATATATATATATATATATATATATTTTTTTAAAGAAGGAATTTATTAATGGTAATAGTCCCTATGGCCCTTTCGACCAACATCTCATCAGGAGAAAATCGTAGGAAAAAATTAATAAATTAAACGAAAAGAACAACAACGAAAATGAAGAGCAACAAAAGGGAGGGAACACAATCTGTATAGGATTGATTGGAAAACAAGAATTAATCAACATATACGACATGACAAAATACATAACATATGTTATCTTCCCTCTAAAAATAATGAATCGGCTATTGCTCAACACCTAGTAGAGCATATAGCCTGTGCCACGTCGTATACGAAAGAGTGGTTCAAAATTATTAACATAGCTGGTTCCCAAAATCATTTGCAGATTTGGAATCAATCTGTATGGGATTATGGACATTTTCTCTTTGCCGGCAGAGGGACTTTGTGAAGTTCCTTAATTTGTTGGGGGATATTTTATTGTAAATGTCCTTTGCAAACTACACGCGATTTTCCCTCCCCTCGTTATAAGTATATATACATATATGTTATTGAATTTAGCGTATTTCCCCACTTTGTTGTTCTTTTCGTTTAATTTATCAATTTTTTCCAACGATTTTCTCCTGATGCGATGTTAGACGAAAGGACCTTAGGGACTATTACCATTAATAAATTCATTGTTTTTAAAACAGTATACATATTTTGTACCTCTAAGCATTTGTATATATATATATATATATATATATATATATATAATATTTCCGTGGACTCAGTTTAAACTAACACGTTGTTTCTTCAATAAACTAAATTATACCCATTACCTTCCTTACTTTATTATTATTAATTTAATATTAGTCCATTTTCTTCGGAATACGTCTCAAAATTTTCAAATGTCTCTTTTTCATTTCGTTTTCTATTAAAATGATTCATTGTCCAAATATTTTTATCATGGTTGTCTGAGAATTCTTATCTAATAATACATCTCCTTTGCCTGAAGATTTTCCTTCATTTGAAGAATTCCAGCATTCCACATTAGATTTGATGAAAATAAATCGTCCAGCATTTTTGCACATTTTTGCGTCATTTCACAGGCATTTAAATTTTCATTCTTGATTGTAAAAATCAATTTCTAGTTCTGTCGCTTAATGAATTATATTTTTTTTCATAATTTGAAAGTTAGTCGGAACGATTTTAAATATTTAAAATTGCGTCGATTAGAAGTAAAAATACAGTTATAATGCATTTTGTATAGCTAGAAATTGTTATTTTATTGCATATAGAATGGATGATACGAAAAAGATAAAATATATCATTATTTCAATTTGCCGCGATAATGACGTAAAGAACAGATGTTTAAGGACCATCCCAGCAGGGGTTAACCTTGTCACTGAGGGGGGTCAGAAGGGGTTCAGAGATGAAACACTTTGTGCTGAATTGTTGCTTAACAGATTGTAATGGTCGGGGAAACATCCTCTTAGAAAACGTTTATACAGAGCAGTGCAAGGACGAAATTTATTTCACCAAAGCAATACAGAAGGAATGGTTTGGGTGGTACGGCGATTTCTAGCAATTTATAATTGTTGTAGTCCGAACAAGAATAATGACGTAAGAGGTTTGCCACATCCCGTCACTGAGAGAAGGGGTTCAGGATGGAAAATAATTTGTTGCCCACAAGGACGAGGTTGGGTTTTGGTAATGTTGAGACAAGAATGTGAGGACAGAACATATCATTACAAAATATAACTGCATTACTCCATTTTAGGCATCGTCTGCCTCTTGTAAATATAGACGACAGTCCATGGAGTTATGTACTTCTTAGAGAAATTTAGACAATTATTTCTGCATCCTTATCGATGAATCGTATATACGAGATCCACGTAAGATCTGAGGTGAGTTTAGGCCTTAATAGATCCTCAAGACACGGGGCTTAGTGATAGTTCGGTGTGCGATCGGCGATGATGAAATATAACTAGTGTTTGTTTTTTTTTTTTTTAAGACATTCATTGTAACCAGACAGTTTTCCCCTGACTGAGATGTTAGAGCCAGATCAGGTGAGAGATGAACTGTCAATCTTTGGTCATCGCCAATTTTGGAGGTGTGTTGAGCGGATAGGTGTGCGCGTGTTGATGAAAATTATTTTTCTATTTGCATATTGGTAATAACTGTTTCCAAAGGTGGAATATATTATTATTATTGTTGGGTACTAACAAATAAACTTTCAAATGTATGCTACCTATAGGGGTTACTGAGTGTGAATGAATAAGAGATAAATATTACAATGAGGTGTGAACAATAAATAAAAGCAAAGGGAACAAGGAGACAGTAGACAATGATTGACCCGCATTAAAATTTTTAAGTTCAAAGATGTCTAGAAAATATATAGACAATTCCACAATAGTTTTGTTGAATAAATCTGTTTAATATTTAATTATAATTTGTCAAATTTCGCATAACATGCTTTATACTATATTTTATTTTTTTTATTTTTATTACAATTTTAACATAAATTAAATATTAATATATGATACCAAACTGCTATACAGCACGCGCTGGAAGCAGAGATTCACAATACAGTTATCTGTCAGTAAAATACAGAGAGATATCAGTGTACACATTAAACATACCGTGTTTTTCTGAGTTAGAAGGTGGTATATTAAATTTTGTATACAATATACGATATGCGTATAACATTAATGCGTATTAGAAACATCGGTGATTTTCCACATGATGTTACTTATACGATACACGTATATTAAAAATATAGCCTTGCATCATTTGGGTATTGTAATCTAGGGAAGTTTACTGAATAATCAATGAAGGTTGGTAAAGTACGGTAATACTTAGGAAAAGAACTATACATATAAGATTCCACAGCGGCGCGTAGAAGTAGTTCAATGCTAGAAGTGAATCAATTGAATTCCACAATGAATCTCTAATTGCAGGATATCTACCAACCGTCCTACACGGTTAGATGTGGCACAAAGCCGAATTTGATGAAGGGTAGGCCAGCCCGCAAGCCCGACCAAAATTTCCATGTAGACCCCGCATTACTTAACACTGTGCTAAAGTCAAAAGTTCTCTGAATAAAAGAATATGTATCAACATAGTAATTCTGACTCTTCCTTTTAATAAGGATATTAAGAAGCTTGTCCGAGAATATGAAAGGATTCTAGTGAAAGTTTGTAAATTATTCAGTGAGAC